CACACACTCTCTCTCTCACACACACACACACACACACGCCGCTGGAGCTCGGTGAACCTTTCCTGCTCTTCACGAGATGAAGGTAAGATGATTTCCAGGCTCTGCTGTCTGTCAGTCTGTATGAAAGCTTTGACTGCTGTATCAAACTCTGAGCATCATATTCTGCTCAAACGTGTGAGATATATTTGAGGACGGATCAGTTTATTTATCAGCTGTGCAGCATTAGAGACATGTTGATTCTGCAGCTGAATCAGAATCACAGCAGGTGAGATGAGAACAGTTTAAGACAAAAACACTTATTTTATGAAGGTATATGAATGTTAACATATATATGAACTTTTAGAATGTTTAATGAACCTTCATAATCATTTGCTCCCAAAATGATTCATTTATGATTCTGTGTCACGTTGCGTAATAATATCTGACAAATGCATAAATGTAAAAGTAAAAACATTATTTCACGGATTTCCCCCGAAACCCATAACAACGTAAAAATAATCTTTATTGTGAATCCAGATTCATTAATATATATATATTTTTTATAATGTTTTTAAACAGTTCTGAGTGCTCTGATGAGACGCTACTGTAAATGATGTCAATCATAAATGATTTCAGTTCCACAGAACAGGATCTGGTTCCAGTTTTGTTCTGTTTGGTCTCTCTGTAACACTGTAAACCAGCACTGAAGCCATCGATGCGATATTTGTGAAGTTAGATGACTCTCATCACATTATTTATAGCCGTTATATGAGTGGAAATTATCCACTGTAATGTACGTACTTGTTTCACATATAAAGCTCCAGAATGATGCATGTGACCAGATTGGGCTCGACTCCAGCTCTGACGACACTCTCTAGCTAAAACACTCGAGGAGATGAATATAGAACAGTACAGTACACTGTGATTGACAGGATTAGATGATTAACATGTATTGATCACAGTAAGAAATAAGAATGCAATAGCACTGCTGGGCCTTTGAGCAAAACCACTAACTAAACCAGGCTCAGTTTTGAAGCTGCTTAACTAGAAATAATTCATATCGATCATTTGAACAAATGTTCTAACGTTAACAGAACGCTCATGTAAAGTTATCTAAACATTAGCACAAAAGCATTATTTACACATCGTTCATGGAACTTTCTTCTGAAACATTTTAGCTGGACGTTTGTCTGCGATGGGTTAGAGAACATTCAAAAGTAACACTCCCATAATGTTTGCAAAATAACAAAATGTAACATTCCCGACTTTAGTGTTCACATAACCAAGAAAACGTGTTTTTCTCTGGTGACAGGTAATGTTAATCAATATGTTTTTGAGAGATGATATATAACGGAACACATCACATTCATGATTGATTCGATATTAAAATGTTTACTTTAATAATGCATCAAACCTGTAGGGCTGTTGATTCACTAATGATCATGTGAAGGGAGTATAAATGAGCTCAGGTGATGTTTAGTGAACAGCACATTTGGTCCAATCAGAGACGAGTGAACGCACATCAGGTCACATGTTATAATCACTGAACACATGCACACAAACTAATAACACTAATGCAAAAGAATGAACTTTTAGACATGCATGTGGAGAGATCTGATACATCAAACATATTTCAGCTGATATAGAAAAGGAAACTTTTGAGCATTGATTTTTAATCAGTCTGCTTGTGACATATAAAGTGAATGAATCCACTTAAATCAGAGTGTTCGTTGTTGTAAGATCAGCGTGACTATGGTTCTCAGCTGTGGATCTGACAAACAGGAAACAGCAGGAGGCGACAGGAAACCATAAAGAACTTCACACTAAAATTAGCCGCGTGGACATGTGCACCTCTGAGCATCATTCACGCATGACAGATGCTAAACCAAGCGCTTAATATCTGTTTTGATCATGACACAGCTCGTTAGAGCTAAATAAATCAGTCATGTTCGGCCAGCGATGTCAGACGAAACCACACGAAGCTCACAGAAGAATATGGACTATATTGTTCAATTTGGAGGGCCGTTGCAATAAGCTAATGTTAGAAAAAACTCTTTATATTTTGGCCCCGTCAGAATATTCCCAGTCCGGCTTTCACTCGTGAATGCATGGGCCCACGGGAAGAGTCATGAACGAGTCGAGTCTCTGTCCACACACTTCTTCAGAGTTTATTGTTACATCAGTAGATTATATCGATCTGCTTTTATTTGCTTTTAGAGAAAGTGTGAAAAGCTCAGTTTCATCTTCCAGGAGACGCTCGCCGTGTTTTCAGCGTCTGCCGCCTCACTAAATGAACACATAAACACATCAACAACATCTCCTGAACTGCTCTATTTATAAGCATTTTACCGTTTCCTTCGAGTAAAACTATCTTCATATCATATACACACATAAATTTAATGGCAACCCGTTTGGTTTAACTCACAGACATTGTGCTAAAAATATATATTACTATTCTTCAGTAGAATGTACGTAATACTACTGCTACTAAAATCATTAAAACTTTATTTTTTTAAGGGATAATCACACAATATTTCTTCCATGTTTTAATTTTAATAGTAAATCTCCTTTGTCTAACAAAAAATAAAGTTTAATTTCATTTAGTTTATGCCTTCATTTGATAAACAGAAAAAATTTAATACACAACACAGGTATATTTGTAGCAATAGCCAACAATACATTGTATGGGTCAAAATTATAGATTATTCTTTTATGCCAAAAATCATTAGGATATTAAGTAAAGATCATGTTCCATGAAGATATTTTGTAAATGTCCTACCGTAAATATATCAAAACTTAATTTTTGATTAGTAATATGCATTGCTAAGAACTTAATTTGGACAACTTTAAAGATGATTTTCTCAATATTTAGATTTTTCTGCACCCTCAGATTCCAGATTTTCAAATAGTTGTATCTCAGCCAAATATTGTCCTATCCTAACAAACCATACATCAATGGAAAGCTTATTTATTCAGCTTTCAGATGATGCATTCATCTCAATTTCGAAAAAATTGACCATTATGACTGGTTTTGTGCTCCAGTGTCACATTTCATAAGGCTATTGTAAGAATAAATTTGAATAAATTAAGTTGTTTTTATGCATTCAAATAGTTAGACATGCTAAAACACAGAATTTGGTAACAATAAGGTGAGAAAAAATAAAACAATTCATAGGGCCCTAAACATGTAATTTTGTTAAACTGTTAATAGTGATAATCAGAGTTACAAACAAATAATCAGAGTTAGAAACGATGAGTCTCTGTTCACAGCAGCTTTATGTTGTGTGCTGGCAGGAGTTTGTGTCCGTTATGACGCGTCTCCATTAATGATGGTGAGTGATGAACACATCCGTCTCTATCTTTCATCAGCAGCTCTATCTGTGATTCATCTGTGTGTGTGTGTGTGTGTGTGTGTGTGTGTGTGTGTGTGTGTGTGTGTGTGTGTGTGTGTGTGTGTGTGTGTGTGTGTGTGTGTGTGTGTGTGTGTGACACTGATCAGATGTGTTGATCTCTCAGGATGACATGAACAGACGAGAGCGGATCACATCCGCACACACATACCTGGATGAAGGTTTGTACGTGAGCCAATCAACCACAGACAGAGTCAGAGTCGACTCATCAAAATACATGCAGAGACAAACCAACAAGACATTAAAGATTTTACGTTGATGTCAAACATCTTAAATAATTAGATTGCACAGCCTGACACATATTAATGACAAATTCAGTTTCAGCTGTAAAGCAGCTCTACAGAAGACAATAGAGTCATTATTCAGATCAGCTCAGTTCAATAACTGCGTCAGTGTTGCAAAAGTTCATCAGTTATGATCAATGACTGCACAAAATGATTTTCTTGCTCAGTATTTTTGTCAGTAAAAATATCAAAGCATTCTTAAATCAAGATGCATTTACTTAAGAAGCAAAATAACATGATACTAAGTATCTGAATAAATGTATCAAAATGAAGGGAGTTTATGCTTAAAACAAGAACACATATCTGCCAATGGGGTCAGAAAAATAAACTGAATTCAAAGGGAAAACGAGATTGACAGATATTTGCACAAGACGAAATATCTAACTCAAGTAAATGTTTCTTAAAGGGGTCATATGATGCTGCTAAAAAGAACATTATTTGGTGTATCTTGATTCAAGATTTCCTAGATTCCTAGGAACACAAGACAAAAATACTAATCAAAATAAATCATTTAATGCAGTTGGAGGTGAAATCATCTTCATGTCTCCATCTAGTGGCACAGATCAGTCAGTGCAACTCAAACACGTGATGAGCGCGATTCATTAATGATGTGCAGCCTTCAGCACATTTGAATATTCATTAATGCTGGAATATATGTCTAACTGTGTGTGTGTGTGTGTGTGTGTGTGTGTGTGTGTGTGTGTGTGTGTGTGTGTGTGTGTGTGTGTGT